TTGCGACGCGTTCGTGTTTCGCATTGTTTAAAAGAGCGTAGAATTAAACGCTTATCCGCTGGCTGTCATCAGTCGGCAATAGAATGAAAGTTTGAAGAAGAGAATAAAAATTTCTCTTTTCTATCTCTGGCAAATCTGCGAATAGCACGGATAGTTTTCTTTTAAATACGGTCGTGTATATTGCATGCTTAAATTCATATTCATAAATGCATGTCACGCATGAAAATAATTTTGTGTGGTGTCTAACACATATTTCTTTCAGTGAATAAAATATAAATTTAAAGTACCCGTGTTAGGCACTGCGAAAGCACGGAAGAGCTTACGAAGGACGCTTTAAATGCGTGAAGGGGCTACAGGGAATTCGTTCAATCTTATTAAAGATTGAAGGAAAATCTACAATAATAAAATAACAAAACTAAACAGACCAACGGAATAACAATAAAATATTAAGACAAATACAATGAAATTTCGTGTAAAAGCGCGAATTAAACCGCGTTGGCAATTGAGATCTTTCATTGATCGATAAATTTTCTCCGCGTTCTGCTTATTTAAACCGCGTTGGGAATTGAGTCTCATCTTTATTAATTAATAAAATGGTAAAACTTTGCGATATTTAAACAACCGGGACTTGCAAAAGTTGTGGATAAATAAAAATATGATTACTAAATTCCTCGCGCCTATTTAAACGATTACGTGCCGCGGATCGCGAACGTTGTCATTAACCAATAATAAGATTGTTAAATATCTCGCCTCTACTTAAATGATTACGTTTCGAAGCTCGCCGTTTTGATTCATTAAAAATAAGATTGTTAAATATCTCGCGCTCATTTAAACTATCACTGTCCGGGTATTGCCAACGTTCTAATTAATTAATCATAAAATTGATAAATATCTCGCGCCTATTTAAACGATCGCGTTTCGGGGCTCGCGATCGTCTTTGTTAATTATAAATAAGACTGTTGAATTTCCCGCACCTATTTAAACGACTACTTTTTAGATATCATGAACGCTGTAATAAATTAAGAATAAAATTCTCGCGCCTATATAAATGACCGCGTTTCGGAGCTTGTGATCGTCTTTGTTAATAATAAATAAAACTGTTGTATTTCTCGCGCGCATTTAAACGACCACGTCCTGTGTCTTGCAAACGTCTTTGTTAATTAATAATAAGATTGTTAAATA